TCCGTGACGTTTCCTCTTCAGTGGCACCCCCAGGATTATGGAACGGCCTCCCCGGGGAGGTGCGCCTGCCCCCCCCCCCGACTTTCAGTCTTTAGGAGGCAGTCCAAGACGGTTATATTTAGGACCGCATTTGATTAATTTACCGGCAATTCTAAACTGTGGTTTTAAATTCTGTTTTTTTTAAAAAATGGATTTTGTGTATTATACAGATTTTAATCTGTAATGGAAGCCATCTAGAGTTCCATATGGAAGAAAGGCGGCTAATAAACGTTTCAAATCAGCCTACAAGAGAGATCCAGTCTGGTGTAGTGGTTAAGTGCGCAAACTCTAATCTGGGAGAACCGGGTTTGATTCCCCACTCCTCCACTTGCACCTGGCTGGATGACCTTGGGCAAGCCACAGTTCTGTCAGAGCTGTTCTCTCAAGGACAGTTCTGGAAAGAGCTCTCTCAGCCCCACCTGCCTCACAGGGTGTCTGTTGTGGGGAGGGGAAGGGAAAGGAGTCTGTAAGCCGCTCTGAGACTCCGAGTGAAGGGGGGGGATAAATCCAATCTCCTCTTCTTCTTCTTCTTCTGCAAATCATACTGGGCCCATCACTGTTACTGCAGAAGCCAGGTAATGCGGCTGCAGAAAAGGCATTCTGCCAGCTTCGTTTAGCCTGGGAGACATCTTCCTGCTCTGACTCGGCTGATCTGGTCGCACAGATGCACCCGTTGCTTCCCTTGAGACTGGACTGCTGTACTGCACTCTGCATGGGTCTGACCTTAAAGAGAACTCCATTTGGAGCAGAATGTCACAGCCCGTTTAGGGCCGGCGCTAGGTGGAACGTGTACGTCACTCTCATTTAGCAGCCGCACTGTTGGTTACTGATCAGTTACCGAGCTCAGTTCAAGGTTCCGTTTATCACTTCCAAAGCCCTTAGCGGCCTCGTACGTCCACGCCCGCAGAGCCCCTCTCCTGCTATGCTCCGCTGCGACAGCTTCGCTCATCCGAGCAAGGCCCTCTAAAGGTGCTACCACGCAGGTGGCGAGATCGGCACCTTGCCCGTTCACGTGCACTCTCAGCGTGGCTCCCACCTTGAGGAGCTGCTTACCCGGGGAAGTCAGGAAGGCTCCCCGCATGTCTGTTATTCTGCAAAAGCAGTAATGTTCAGGTCCTGACCCGGATAGGCCAGGCTAGCCTGATCTTGGAAGCTAAGCAGGGTCGGCCCTGGCTGGTATTTGGAAGGGCGGTCTCCCAAAGAATACTAGGGTCGTGATGCAGAGGCAGGCAGTGGCAAACCGTCTCTGAAACATCTCTTGCCTTAAGAACAAGTAGAGATGTAAAATTTCCGGAAAAGTTGAAGCTCAGGAAAAAACCCGTTTTTTTCCGGGGGGAAACTGAGATTTTCAGAAAAATTGAAAAAAAATGCTACATTAGCATTTCTTTTGTCTTTTCTAGATTGAAAGTCATTCTGTTACTTTAGGAACATAAAATATGACTATGGACATTTTTACTTGGCATGAAATTATCACAACTAGCATATTAAAAATATAGAGTATCCAAACAATTATTACAAACAGAATACCCATCCACATGCAAAAACAAAACTGAAACTTTTTTATTTTCTTCTGACAAAATCGCACTTCCTAAAGGAAGAAATGCATCTTGTTCTTGCATTGGAGAGTTCAGTTTGTAACCTAGGACTTGCTTGTCCTCAGTGCACAGAAATTAGATCAATCTGATACCATATATATATATATTTTAGAAATGATTTGGAAAATATTTGAACACCTTGTCTTAAAATATTTTATTCATAATGTTAAAATAAAACGTTCCATAATCATTTTTTTCCCCTTTTCTTTTTTCAATTTTTCCAATTTTTCGGAAAAAACCCGAAAAGGCTTCAGGGAAAAAACGGAAAAAAAACGTTTTCCCCCGAATTTTTCTGGTTTTTTCCCAGGCCTTCACATCTCTAAAAACAAGTCTAGCTTACCACCTAGTTGTGCATAATGCTAAAGAGCTAGAACCTCTGGCTGCCAGATAATCTTAGGATCTCCGGTCTGTACTACACACATTGCCATATGATAACTGATTAAGTAGTCATGTTCAAGAGGGCATATTTTAAAAAACGTCTCTTGCCTTAAAACAAGTCTCGCTTACCACCTAGTGGTGCATAATGCGAAAGAGCTAGAACCTCTGGCTGCCAGATAATCTTAGGATCTCCTGGCTGTACTACACACACTGCCATATGATAACTAATTAAGTAGTAATGTTCAAGAGGGCATATTTTAAAGAAGAGATTAGAACTGTGGTTGAATGGAACAGTCCGGGAGGGCAATGTTTATACTGGAATAGTCCACTGTGCTGATTTTTGTAGGGATCAAGGTTTTACTGCATTGCCCTAGACTTTTGTGTGGGGAATCCAAGCAACCTCTTAACTCCCTGACTGGGGTGGGGGGCAGGGAGTCCTCCCATTTCTTGATTGGGCTGGCCTGTTAGCCCCCCCCCCCGACCATCATCCACGACATAGCTTTGACCAGGGGTGGGGTAACAAGAATGAGCGAGGGGGTGAGTCACAACTGATATGTAGGTAGCGGTAGCCGCTTCTCACAGGAATTGCTCATAGCCCATGGGAGTTCCAGAGGAGTGGAGCCTCGAAAAGGGGCCGGCCTCAGGACAGGACAAGTTGTGAAAGGAGCAGGGTCAAGAGAGATGTGGAGGAGGAGGAGAAGAATAAGAAGAGGAGATTGGATTTATACCCCGCCCTTCACTACCCGAAGGAGTCTCAGAGCGACTTACAATCCCTTCCCCTCCCCACAACAGACACCCTGTGGGGCAGGCGGGGCTGAGAGAGCTCTCTTGAGAACTGCTTGTGAGAGAACAGCTCTGAGAGAACTTGTCAGTGACCCAAGGTCACACCAGCAGCTGCATGTGGAGGAGTGGGGAATCAAACCCGGCTCTCCCAGCTTAAAGTGCGCGCTCCTAACCACTGCACTAAACTACACCGAAAGGGTGAAGGAAACCCTCTTCCCTATCAGTCTGAGGCCCGTGGGCGGGAGTACAACGATTGGGCACACTCAGTCAGGTCTTCTGCACCACGAAATCCACTTTCTGTATTATTTATGCAGCTAGATCACGGAAATGTCTTCGGACAGCGCTGGCTCTTTGGCTTTGAAACAGAGATGAGCACCGCAACCCTAGAGTCGGACTCGACTGGCTTTCGAGCAAGGGAACCTTTACCTTTTAGATTCGAATCCAGTAGCATGTTAGGCACTAACAAGATTTGGGGAATATAAGGTTTCGAGAGTATATACCTTATTCCCTTAAAGTTTACACCCTGAAAGTCTCATTCGTCTCCATGGTGCTACGGGACTCAAATCAAGTTGTTCCACTGCTCTCTGAAGCTATAATATAGCTCGCCTTAATTCATCGTTTGTGTTGTTCTCTAATTCTGTAATCCGTCCGGCTGCATTGTTCACTGGTTGTTTTATGCTGTTTGATTGCACTCTCTTATATCCTGTGGTCAGCCTTGAGTCACTGCAGGAAAGTTGCATTATAAAGAAAGTAAGCAAGTCAATAAAATGCTTTGGCTTCTGATGGTGGAGCCGTGCACAAGGCAGACGTCGTTCCTTTATATAGGAGACTGGAAAGGAAAGCTTTTCTGGTTGAACTGTCGCAGGGCCTGTGCTTCAAGTCAGGGGAGTATCTCTTCATCCATACCTGAGTCATAGGCCATGAGTCAGTTATGTCACATCCGTAAGCTGAGCCAGCTAACTTTATAAGCAGTTTTTCTGTGGCATTCGCATCGCTGTCTCTCCTGGCCCTTGCCCAGTTTGGTGTAGTGGTTAAGAGCAGCGGACTGTAATCTGGAGAGCCGGGTTTGATTCCCCACTCCTCCACGTGCAGCCAGCTGGGTGGCCTTGGGTCAGTCACGGTTCTCTCAGCCCCACCTACCTCACAGGTTGTCTGTCGTGGGGAGAGGAAGGGAAGGCGATCATAAGCCGCTCCGAGACTCCTTCAGGTAGTGAAGGGCGGGGTATAAAACGAACTCTTCTCCTTCTCCTCCTTCCTCCTACAACTTATTTGGGAGCCTTTGTACTGTGTGCCTGTCACGGGTGTTGGCAACGTCAAACACAAGCTGGAAGGCATCCTGAACTTGATGCAAGTCAATGAATCTTGGAGCGGGGAGGTAACTTTAACATTAATGTGGGTCCATTGTTGGCCTAGACCAGGGGTGTCGAACTCATTTGTTATAATTCTTTCGCTTTCGCTTTATTTATTTATTATGAGGGCCGGATCTGACAAACGAGACCTTGTTGGGCTGGGCCGTGTGTGTCATAATATGTAATGCCAGGTAGCGGAGATATAAATTTATTTATTTATTTCATTATATTCATACCCCGCCCTCCCCGCGAATGGGCTCAGGGCAGCTATAAACTTTATAAAGGACACAAACACAAAGGTTTTTTTTTAAAAAAATAAAAACATGCTTAAAACAGCACTTTTGCAATATTTTGTTTATTTAACAGTGTCTGATAACTGACACCTCTTGCTCTGAACGATTGCATCAAAATGCCTGTGCTGTTGCAATCTTGAGTATGCTGTTCAGGTGTGTATCTGTAAGCTGCAAACCTACGATGACGCAGCAGCAGCAGAACTGGAAGAAGATACTGCACAACCCCTTTATTAATATCAGTCCTCCTTAATTATACAAAAGTTTTAAGAGGAAGGACTCCTTTAAGTCTATTTTGAATAAGTGCTCAGTCTTCCTCTAGCAGAGGTCCAGATATCCTCCTGTTTCGGTGTCTTCTTCAGGGAGCTCAAAAGATATTTCCAAGCACAAGGTTGCCAGATACCAGAATATTTATCCAAATTTTTCAATGAACGCTCTCTTAGTGAGCGCAAAGCTTCCTCCAAAGTGAAAAGCACGTTCATTGAAAAATTTGGATAAATATTTTGGTATTTCCTACTTACCATGGGTCCTATTTTGGTTTTGTGAACTGGAAGAAGAAGCAGAAGACAGCCAGTTCCACTGTGGGCCTGATAGAAGCCCTCCGGGGGCCTGATCCGACCCCCGGGCCATGTGTTTGACACCCCGGCCTAGGCTGCTAATGTTGTCCTCCTTTCTTTTTTTCCTAGGAACTGTCTTTGCAGCCGAAGGATGATATCGTGGACAGAGCTAAAATGGAAGACACTCTGAAGCGAAGATTTTTCTATGATCAGGCCTTTTCTATTTATGGAGGTATGCGGTGGACGTCAGATACAATTATAGACTCTTCAGAATATGGTTCACCATATGGTGGGCTTTTCCCTCTGCTCAATTTGGCCAGAGGCTTTAACAAAATGCAGGATGTGGAATACGGTAGTCAATCGGAACATGAGTCATGCAAGAAGTTATGGGGATACAACAATTAAAAAATTAAGTGGGATGTTTGTGTTGGAGAGTCAGTCTTGTGCCAGCCTCCCTCTCTCTCTCTGTCAGAGTTTTTGTGAAAATAAAATTGAGGGGTGGAACCAATGTTCCCTCTAAGGTCTGGAGTCCTGTGAGCAAAAATTCTACTTTGCGAGCGACTGGCATTAAAGTTGTGAGCAGGTGATTTGGCTAGTTTGGTGTAGTGGTTAAGTGCGCGGACTCTAATCTTGGAGAACCGGGTTTGATTCCCCACGCCTCCATTTGCACCTGCTGGATGACCTTGGGCAAGCCAAAGTTCTGGCACAGCTGTTCTTGAAAAAGAGCAGTTTCTGTCAGAGCTCTCTCAGCCCGATCTACCTCACAGGGTGTCTGTTGTGGGGAGGGGAAGGGAAAGGAAAGGAGTTTGTAAGCTGCTCTGAGACTCCCTTGGGTAGTGAAGGGCGGGGTATAAATCCAATCTCCTCCTCTTCTACTGCATGAATCAGTTTGCTCTGGAGCCATCCTTCCTGAGCTGAGACAGAAATGTGTGAGCCGGAGGCTAAAAAACTGTGAGCTAGCTCATGCTAGCTCAGCTTAGAGGTAACACTGGGTGGAACGATGACTCGGCCACACCGTGAGCCCCATGCAGGGCCAGCAGGATAAAAAGAGGCACCAAAGAAGTCAACCAAGATGGTTAAGGGGATTCTGGCTCCTTCGCTATGAGGAAAGGCTGGAGTCTGGGATTTACTAATCTGGGAAAGAGATGACTAACACAATAGAGTTTTATGAAGTCATGCCCAGGTTAGAAGGCTGGACAAAGAGAACTTTTTCTCTCAAAATACTAGAACTCGAGGGCATTCCAAAGAAGCTGATGGGCAGTGGGTTCAGGAAGGAAGGGCATGAAATACTTCTCTACACAGAGAGTGATTAAAATGTAGAATTTGCTGCCAGAGGATGTAGTGATGGCCACAGGCACAGACGGCTTCGAAAGGGGATTAGACAGATTCATGGGGGGCTAAGTCTACCAGTGCCTACTAGCCGTGGTGACTGAAGGGAACCTCCATGTCTAGAGGCACTAATTTTCTGAATTCCAGTGCCAGGAGACAACACTGGGGGAAGGCCTCGGCCTCTGTGCCCTGTTGTTGGCCCACTGTGATGTTTTACTGGTGCCATTGTAAAGTAAATCTAGATAATGTTTTTGTGTTATCTTCTGTAAATTGTGTGATTTCTGCAGATTAGACCAATTCACTCACTTCCTCCAGTAACAGTGAGAAAAGCCTTCGCCGGCCACTTAACAGAACGGCATCACGAAATGTACAACAAGAAATTTGCAGTCGTAGTAAGAGAAGTTAAAAGGGATATTAGAACAGTGTCTGGCTAAACATCTGGCAAAAACAGTTGTATCCGAAAGGAAAGGAATGCCAAAAGGAATCTGGAGAGTTCAGGTTGGATTTGTTTGTAGCGTGCTCAGAATTAGACCTAAGTGAAAAATGGCTTTGAGTGAAATCATTCTTAATCTTAATCTGTGTAGCGATATCCAAATATATGCTATGTAAGTATCAAAGAGCCATAGCTTTGTATCATTTGGCTGAATGTTTGCTATTGTAAACTGATTGGAGGGGTTTATTGCTTGGAATTTTAAAAAAAGGCCCCCCTGTGGAATTCTGGGCTACTTCCGAAGAAGAAGAAGATTATATTGGATTTATACTCTTGCCCTTCACTACCCAAAGGAGTCCCAGAGCACTTTATAATCTCCTTTCCCTTCCCCTACACATAACAGACTTCTGAAGTCGGTGGGGCTGCGAGAGCTCTCTTGAGAACTGCTCTTGAGAGAACAGCTCTGAGAGAACTGTGACTGACCCAAGGTCACACCAGCAGCCGCATGTGGAGGAGTAGGGAATCGAACCCAGTTCTCCCAGACTAGAGTTCCGAGCCACTACACCAACCTGGCTCTCAGAACTTGCATACCTGCTTAACTTCCTTAAGGATGCTGTACCATTGCCTGGGTTGACCCTGCCTTGCATTAAAATCTGACCCGTAATCCAATAACTAAATATACGGAAATGACTCTTCCTCTTGACGGACGAGGGTCTTGTTTGAGTTCCTCGTAAAGTCAGAAGGATAACCTTTTTGGGCTCTCGCTATGTTTGTGAGGGTGCGATTATGGGGTGGAGATCCTGTAAGTCTCGGAGGGGGTGGTGGAGGAGGTTGCGCTATTCACGGCTCCCCGTCTTTTGCAGGTGTGAGTGGCCTCTATGATTTCGGGCCCGTGGGTTGCGCTTTGAAGAACAACATCGTTCAAGCCTGGAGGCAGCACTTCATCCAGGAGGAGCAGATCTTCGAGATCGACTGCACCATGCTCACGCCAGAGCCCGTGCTGAAGTAAGCGGCCGGCCTGCATGTGGCAGCTAAAAAAAATATTTTTTTTGAGTCGTGGAGACCTTCTTCCGTTCAGAATTTGATCCCTGTGTATTCTTATGTTCGGGCTGAGGGCGTGTGTTTCAGTTTTGCCTCAAGCCTTCCGCGGTAGTCTGCCCACCAAGTTTAAAAGCTTCCAGGCAAAGCTCATAAATGTACTATAAAATCAAACTAAAGAATCCCATTGGCATGTAAAAGCTTCCCTTAGTCCTGGAGACTGTAACTCTGTTTTTCCTGTCTGCCGTGCATCTTGCCCAGAAAGCACACTCTTTTTAAAATCTCTCAAAAGCAAGGGGTTATTGAAACCCATCTCTGTGTCCCCTTTGCACAACGGCGTGTCAGATATATCATAATGGTAAAGAATGTGAGCTAGAAGTCCCTACCCAAATTTCTGGTGGCTGTGAGCTCGCTGGTTGGGACTATAAGCAAATTCAGGCTACCAGTTCCCAGCATTTAGGGGCTGGAGTAGTGGTAAGTAATAAGAGCATAAGAGAAGCCAATGTTGGATCCATCTATATGTTGTGGCTGTTAGCCACTGATGGAGCTCTGCTCCAGATGTTTATCCAGTCCCCTCTTGAAGATGTCTATGCTTGTAGCCACCACCACTTCCTGCGGCAGAGAGTTCCACATGTTCATGACTCTTTGGGAGAAGAAGTGATTTGCAAGATTTCCCCCTGAGACTCTGGAGAGTCACTCCCATAGATGATTTTTTTTTCTTTTTTGCTGCCAAATTGCAGCCAGCGTGGAGACCCCATAGGCTTTTCAAGGCAACAGATATTCAGAGGTGGTTCACCAATGTTTGCCTCTGCGTAGCGGCTCTGGTATTCCTTGGCGGTCTCCCATCCAGTACTAACCAGGGCCGATTTTGCTCGGCTTCTGACATTTGGCGAAATTGGGCTAGCCTGGGCTCTCCGAGTCAGGGCATGTAGACAACACAGACCGTGATCAACCAGTGGTCCAATTCAATGTAAAGCAGTTTTATGTCTGTGCATGGAACACGGGAGAAATATCAGTGTACCTTACCACAACACTATAGGGATAACCACAAGCCGTGTTTAAACTCCAGTTGGACATGACCACACTGTTGCTGTACTCGAATGCTCCTCCTCTCCTCCTCCCCTCTCCTCCTCCTCTCCCTCTCCTCCTCCTCTCCTCTCCCTCTCC